AAACTAAAATCTTTCCATTTGTATTGCTTTGTTGATCTCTGAAGGTATGACCCTGAACATGTTGCTGCTTCAGCCACTGCCTTCCATCTGCATTCTCATGTTACAGTTAAGGAAATCTAAGCCATTGGTGGTGGTATTTCAGGTTGTGTTACTTATTATGTTGGTTCTTATTAAGTATGGTTCCATACTTATTAAGTATGGAACTTATTAAGTATGGTTATAACCATACTTATTAAGTATGGTTCTCAGTGGGAGGTTAGTTTGGCTCAAAGTTGTCATTTGGCAGTATCTGGAGACATTTTGGGGATACAATTATTGGGAAGCAGTGCTTCTGTTATTGGTAGAGGCTAGGAGCGAGGTTGAACATCCTGCCAAACAGAATATAATCTTACTGGCTCAAAATGTCAATAGTGCTGCAGATAAGGAAACTATCCTAAAGGTCTATCATGGAAATATGGTCAAAAAAGGGAAGGTTTGAGGTTTGAGTTGTAGCATTGTAGTTTGAGCACCTGGCCTCCAGACTCAGTCTGGTTAGCTGGATGGGTGGGGCTCAGCGATCTTGGAAGCATAAGGAGTGTGGGTCTGTGGTGAAATTTGTTTACTAATTAGAAGCAGGAAAGTAGTCAAGAGATTTGGCTTCTGCTTGGTAGACTGTGTGTTCTTTGGCAGGACTGAAACCATGAGGCAAGCTAGGTGCCTGAGGCCAATCTCTGAGGATATGCTCACTCTGGGATTCCTGTGCTTGATTCCCTGAGAGGGAGTAGGGAGTGTTCCTTAAATTTTGTGCCAGAGGCACTTGATGAAGTTTACTTCATCCTACTGGCCTGACGTCTTTGGCAAGTATGTTGTGGCTCATTAACTGTTTGCATTGAGCAGGAAGCATATGTGAATAAAGTAATAGCATGCATCATAGAAAAAAGGCTATCTTCCTCTTCAGATGTTTAGTCTTTTTGTCACAGTGCTTTCAGCCAGCCTGTGGAACAGGCCCTGCAGGGACTTCCTGAGGCATACCTTCACTCATTCTGTTAATACAGTCATTGACTTTCCACTGCAGGCTGTATTTTCTTCTGTATAGAAAGGACAGTACCTGTGAGGAGGCTGCAGAAGAGTAGAGGCAGAGGGAGGAGGAGCAAGACTGAGACTAGTGCCTGGCGCTTGGGTTGAGGGGTGTGAAGCATACTCAGGGAGTCCAGCTAGGCTTTTGTGTGTCTCCTGTGGTGTCCAGTTTTAGGTCTCTCCCGTGTTCTCCTTCCTTTGTCTCTACTTCATCTTTGTCTCTTTGTCTTTTTCTCTCATTTTCTGTGCATTTCCTTGTATTTTGGTCTTTTTCTCACAAGTTCATGCCTTCTAATTTTGTACTCCTGTTTCCTTCCTCTGCTGTGGTTTCTGTTCTGCTATTAGTTAAGAGCTTCTATGGTCTTTGACTTGTTGTAGTTCTAAACTCTCAGAGTACTTTGTTGCTATTAGACTCACTCTTTTGGTATTCTGGGAGGGATAATTTATAAGCCCAACTTAGATCCATTGTTTGGCAACTCTGATAGGGGAAAGAGAGCAAGTCCTAAGAAGGAGATGGACAAGTACCTCCAAATGTGCTTATTGTATTGGTGCCTGCGATTTACTGGTGGCTGTTAACTATGTATGTTAGCTGATCCAGGCTTAGCCAAAGAGAGAACTATGATCAGCAGTTGATCCCTATGAAGGTTTTCAGGCAGCACACATTCCTTTGGGGTATCCCTCTCTCACCAACCTAGTTAACCATTTTGCCCCCAACTCCATATTTATGTGTCCACCTTAAATGACTGACTGGTGAGTACCTGTACTATTTGGTAGCACAGCACCCCCCCCCCCCCACACACACACACAGGGTTTCTCTGGGTAACCTTGGCTGTCCCTGGAACAGAAGAGGACATCAGTTTTCTTAGAACTAAGCTGGCTGTGAGTCACCATGTGGGTACAGGAAATTGAACCCAGGTCCTCCAGAAGAGCAGTTAGTGCTCTTAACTGCTGAACCAACAACTCTTCATCCTTATTTGATAGCATATTAAGTGAAGCTCTTAAAACACCATGGTGACTATTCTGTCACATATGGTCATTTCCTTCCTTCCTCCTCCTGTCCTCCCTCCCCTCCTTCCTTTTTTTTTTTTTTTTTTTTTTTTTTTTTTCCTCCCCCCCCCCCCCCCCTTCTTGGTTTCTCCGTCTAACATTGCTGGATATCCTGGAACTTGCTTTGTAGACCAGGCTGGCCTCAAGCCCAGATATCCATCTGCCTCTGCCTCCTGAATGCTGGGATTAAAGACGTGAGCCACCACTGCCCGGCTTCATATGGTCATTTTCTCAACTGGCTCTGGACACTGTTCTTTTGAGTGGAGAATTGCCCCAGGAAACTGGTTGTTATGTTGCCTCCAGTCAGGGTTCATTAGTTCCCTCTTTGCCAAATTATGAGCTTTAGACACACTATAAACTGTGCTCTCTGAGAGTTTGTGGTCTTTCAGAAACAAGACTGAAATGCCATAGGGAGAAACCTCCTGGAATCAGATGTTCCCAGGACTGTAGTACTTGATACTAAACTATTGTAAGTGGAAATGTGAAGATGAGAGGAACTTGGGCAGAACTGCCTAATATATTGGGGAAGATTTGGGCTGAGCTAGGCCTTGGATGTCAGTGATGGCGGTGGCAAGAAGAGGGGAAAGACCTTTTGTGTGTGTTACTGGCATAAGTAAGGGAGAGTCCATCTAAAGGAATAAGTGGGTGGTAGTATGTGCAAGTGGTTGAGAGAATGGGCTGTAAAAGTTTATAAAAGAAAGCATTTAAGGGGCTGGAGAGAAGATGACTCAGAGGTTAAGAGCACTGGCTGCTCTTCCAGAGGTCCTGAGTTCAATTTCCACCAACCACATGTTGGCTCACAACCATATATAATGAGATCTTGTGCCCTCTTCTGGCCTGCAGTGACACATGCAGATAGAATACTGTATACATAATAAATAAATCTTTAAAAAGAAAGAAAGAGAGCAAGCATCTAATTGGGAGCTTGTTTACAGTTTCAGAGGAATAATAATAAGTATTGGAACAGTAGTTGAGAGCTACATCCTAACTCATAGGCAGAGAGAGAGAAAGACCCTGGACCTGGCATGAACTTTTGAAACCTCAAAACCCATACCCAGTGACATACTTCCTCCAAGAAGGCCACTTCTTTCAATCCTTCTACTACTCAAAAAGTTAATGGACTAAACATTCGTATATATGAGCCTATGGGTGCTGTTTGCATTCAAAGTACAAGATATATATTTAAGATTTTTGTCTTGTTTTTGTAAGCTTGGGACAATACTTAGAAGTGTCACTATGTTTCTTGTTGTAGAAGCCCTTGGATAATTACTATCATGTTCTCCCTTAGATCAAAGCTGTTCTTATTTTTCAGGAATAGAGTTCTCTCTGTAGGTTAATCCTCAATCAGCTTAGCAGTTCACAGCTATCAGTAATCTACAGGGTTTAGACGTTATTGAGGTATGTGAGCAGGGAGCTTAGAGGGTAGCTGGGATGACATGAGCCCAAGAAGCTCTCAGGAAGGCTCATTCTCCAAGAGATCCACTGACAGTTGGTAGGTTTACATTGGAATGGGCATAGGGAGATCATTTGGACTTGAATGCAAGTTGGGGTGGGGGTGGGGCTTGTTTCAGGTCCCAAAGAGGATGTGTGGAGTTGGCAAGGAGTTGGAGGGAGGGCATGACCGAAGACATGGACAAAATCTGAGGGTGAATCATGATGCCTGCCAGCAGCATTTAATTGAAAAAAAGATTACACCTCTTGTTATGTATAGTTGCACACAGGATTAAACGAAAGATAAAGGACACGTCAGCTGGGGTGTGGTGGATTGAGATAAAGAGTTATGAAATCTAGCCTTGATGTTGACAATGAAAGGGCCACAAATTCTTCTTGCTAGAGATAAGAATGCAGGAACTTTTCCTTAAGACCCCCAGGGAATGGAGATCCTCATCCAAATGTCTGGCCTTGGGAAAAGGACTTCTTTAGGGGAGCAGACACTACTACAATTTCTTAGATTTACTCTGAGCCTGTTCCCCTCATAATGCTCCCAAAGGGAAGGTCCCGATGTCTTACTCTTTTTCCATTATACTTTACCATTCTGATTTCTCTGTATTTATTAACTGAACTCTTGCCCTTAATGGCCTCAGGCTCTTGAACTGAATTGTAGGTGTTTCATCCTTGGGATCAGGTGTATCTAGTAAATCTCTTAACTTTCCTGTTTGGTGTAATTAGGAGGGGGAGGGTACATTGGAATTCTTGGTTCCAAGGTGGCAGAGATTTTTTTTTCCAAAGAATTATTTTATTTAGAGAGGATATCATTGTACACATTTTTATCCTTTACCAAAGCCCACACAAAATTTCTCAAAGGGAAAGGCATTAATATTGAGAATCATTTAAAATGAATGTTAAAAGGTGCTGGAGAAGTGTGGTCTGCAATATTGAAATGCTGAAACTTGGTCAAGCAGCAATGGTCACCATGTAGTCCACACCATATAAGATGGAGAACAAAACATCTATATTTGGAGATTTGTCAGAATTGATAATGAGAATGCCTCTGTATACAGGCATACAGGTATAAAACATTAGGTGATCATCAATATTCAAATTTACCTTATTAATGGTGTGTGTGTCTGTAAGTGTAAGTATGTAGTCTGGGTGGGAAAGAGTGGGTGAAGTGAGGTTAACCGCTCTTGGTGTTGGGAAACATTTCCAGAAATGGTCTGGCAGTTTAGAGCATATATGTGTTCCTGCATGCCCTAGTGTCTTTGGATACAGTGTAGGGTATTCATAGGTGCTAAGCTGGCTTGTGTGCTGCTCCTCCTGTTTACCTTTTCTAGTTCTCACTGACCCATTGTTCCTCTAATTTAGGCAGGAGGGGGGAGAAAAATACTTTCTATAGAGAGGTTGGGGTCTGTGTGCTCAGCTCAAGCCTGCCAGTGATACTATGGTTTTCCTTTTAGGTCTGCTGACATTTGTGAACTGTGCCTATGTCAAGTGGGGCACACGAGTACAAGACACATTCACGTATGCCAAGGTCGTGGCACTCATTGCCATCATTGTCATGGGATTTGTTAAACTGTGCCAGGGTAAGAGGGGCTGAAGTGGGAAGGAGGGTAAATGTCTTTGGGAGCCTCTTTGGCTCCTTGAGGAGGATATGGGGACTTAGCTAGCTTCATCTCAGCACATTTTGAATGTATTCTAGAGTGGCATCAGTGAATGTAAGAGATGGTGATGAATCTCTTCTTGGGCTTTGTCAGCTAGGCTAGCTTGGCCAACTGGACATGTCAGATGTCAGATTCTCAGGGCTTCTTTGAAAATAGCATTGCAAGAAGCTAGCAAAAGTCCTAGGAGTTGTTGAAACTTGGAGTATAATTGGGTTGCTCATAAGCTATTTAGGGGGGATAGATTATTGGCTCCTGGTTGTAGTCTGTAATTATCAAGTAGTGAGTGGGAACACTTCCTGGAGGGTGTAGTCGGGAAAGGGTATGTGGTCATTTTGCAGTATTTTATTGTTTATGTGGACCTGTATTAAGTATCATGTTGAGTAATCTTTCAAAGCCAGCTCTTGACAAAAATGTCAGAATGTTGTAGAATGGGCATTGTCTTACCTATGTTGGCCTTTCTTTTCTCTTATGTTTTTTTGAGACAGGGTTTCTCTGTGAAACACCCTTGGCTGTTCTGGAACTTGCTCTGTAGACTAAGCTCTCCTTGAACTCAGATCTACTTGCCTCTGCCCGAGGGCTGGGATTAAAGGTGTATGCCACCATGCCTGGCTCCCTTTCTTTCTCTCTTTTTAAAAAAAAAGCCCTCCCCCCCATGAATATAACCAGGACCTTGTGCATACTATGTTAACACTCTACCACTCAGCCTCATATTTATTTATTTATAAGACATTGAGATAATGTCTTGAAATATGTTTTGAGTTGGCCTGGGCTTTTGATATTTGATTTCTCTTGCTGCAGCTTTCCAAGTGTTGGGATTACAGGCATGCACTAACTATCACATATTATTAGCTCTTGAAAACTTCACTCTGGGGTCAGAGCAGATTGAGGCTAGTGGGCATCTCAGGATGTCCTGAAAGGTCGTTATCAAAGGATATCTTTCATACTTAACATTCAATTCTCTATTTTATCATTCCCAAACATGGCTAGGGAGCTGAACCCTTTGTCTCAGGCCTATTGATTTGAAATTGAAAATTATGAAAGTTCTTGTGTGTGCATGGTTCTGAGGACCAGAGACCCAAGTCTACAGGCATGCTAGACAAGTGCTTCTTCCAGCCCAAAGCTATGCTCTTATGAAGTGCCCTAGGTAACTCTCTGGCAGCTAGCCCAGGAAATTTATGCACTGTTGCTGAGTAACTACAGTCAGGCATCTAACTAGATGTCCTTGAGATCTCAGGAGTATCTTAGAGTAAAATTGGGCTATTGAGTAATTTTTCCTTGCAGGAAATGGAAATTCCTTAGGGCTTGGGAAGGAGTGTTTCTCAGAGTGCAGATAAGAATGTTTTTGTTTTCTTGAGATTAAAGAAAATTTAACCTGAGGTAGTAGGTGGGGTGGTAAAGTGCAGGGAGTTTCTGATTGTTCTTTTGTTATTAAATGATGTTTTTTTTTTCTTCCCCTTCCTTGTTTTTGTTTTTTCCTCTTTTGTTTCACCTTTTTATTTCTCCTTCTGAATCCTTTATCTTCTCCATATTATTCCCCTATCTTCCTTTTACCTGGTCTCCCACCCACTTTTGCCCCACAGGACACACTGAGCACTTTCAGGATGCCTTTGAGGGTTCCTCGTGGGATATGGGAAACCTCTCTCTTGCCCTCTACTCTGCCCTCTTCTCTTACTCAGGTTGGGACACCCTTAATTTTGTAACAGAAGAAATCAAAAACCCAGAAAGGTAAAGGCGAGATCACATTCTCCATCTTGGCTGGAACTCCTGCTGATGGTGGGCACAATTGCCCTTTTCTCGTACCTCCTCCCTCCGCCTCTCACCCCTCTTTCTTTTCCTGCTCCCCTTCTCTAGTTAGAGGCCTTGGGGGCTAGGATGGGAGTAAGTGATGGTGGGAAACCCTTGGCTCTCACTCTTATGTTCCATTGAAGAACATCCAGGGTCCTTTGTATAGGAGGTCTTTAGTGGGCAGCAGCAGGTCTAGCTGGGGCTGGGGTGGCAGGACTTTGCCATGTGGTAGTGAGACTGTTGCCAAAGCTGCCTAAGTTGTTTCTAGACTACCAGGTCCTCAGCTAGTTTCTAGTTTCCAAAGGATATTGCTTCTGCATTTATCCTGAGATCACAGATGCAAGAATGTTGTAATGCCACATGTGACTCATTGAACCTATTCTGGTAGAATAAACTAATCATGTGCCCCCTTTTCCTTAGTGGAAAGTCCCCGGGACATGGGAAGCATACCTACCCCAGGGCATGTGAGGGAAAGGAGCCCATCTAAAAGACCTGGCAGCAACGAACTGTTAAAGTTAGGAAATTCCAGTGGGTGCTGGGTGAGTTGGTTCTAGGTAGTTCTATTTCACTTGTCCTGACAGAAATTTGCCCTTGGCCATTGGGATTTCTATGCCAATTGTGACACTTATCTACATCCTGACAAACGTGGCCTATTACACAGTGCTGAACATTCAAGATGTCCAGGAGAGTGATGCAGTGGCTGTGGTGAGTCTCTTGGGGGGGTCTTCCTTTGCTCCTATTCCTCATCTCATGAGGATCACATGGTGCTTAGTCCTTTTCTGCAGCTACTCTACTTCTACAGTGTGAGGGATTGGTCTGGATAGGGCAGAGGGTGGACAGTTTAGCAGTGCCTGCCTTTGTTCAGAGATCATAGATATAAGGAGGAGGATTACAAAACTTGGTCCTATATTGAGTGCCCTTTCTTTGCTCTGCCTCCAGACATTTGCTGACCAGACATTTGGCATGTTCAGCTGGACTATCCCCATTGCCGTTGCTCTGTCCTGCTTTGGGGGCCTAAACGCATCCATCTTTGCTTCATCAAGGTACTTTGGCTTTTCTGATAATAGACTTTTCTTAGCACCTGCGTGGCAGCTCACAACCATATATAACTAGTACAAGAGCATCTGTGCAATAGTAGTACATGCTCCTAACCGGTACTATTGCTCCGGTAACCCCTATGACGATTTTAAAAAGAAGGGATGAGATGTACAGTCCCAGCTGGAGTAGGAGGATCTCAAGTTTGAATCTAACTAGACCTACATAGGAGACCTTATCTTTTTAAAAAAGGACATTGTGGTAGTTGTAAATTTGTACTGTGGCAGAATAGGTGTGTGTGTCGTGTCGTCCCCCCTGCCCCCCGGGATGGATTGGAATGTCATTAGGTGGTGGAAACACACAGTGTCTGTAGGATGTTGGTGAGGTATCTGGTTCAGAAGTGGGAATTATGGTAGGTGACATTGAGTTTCATTGCTGAGGGCCTGGAGTGGTTAATGGTTAATGGATAATGGTGGATGAGCATTCCTGGATAGTGGTGAGGTGCTAATAGTTGAAGATGTTGGTGGGTAATACGAGTAATGGACTGAGTATATATGAAGCCTGAGGGGCTGTACCCCTGATTTTTTCTGGTACTCTGAACTTAGTTTGAGGAGTGTGGCTGAGTGAAAGACTGCTGCTGCTGACACATTTCATACTCTTACAGGTTGTTTTTCGTGGGCTCTCGTGAGGGCCACCTCCCGAACCTTCTGTCCATGATCCACATTGAGCGCTTTACACCTGTGCCTGCTTTATTGTTCAATGTAAGCTCTGCTGGGAGAAGTGGGCTTGGGCAGGTTTATGCAGGATTCTTAATTTACACTGTATATAGGCTTTGTTCTAAGATTTGAAGCACAGTTTATTTTCTGTAGTGTTTGGGTTGGAACCCAGAGCCCCATATATGAGGTATTCTACCACTGTCCTATACTCCTAGCCCACTATTCATTGTCCCCTGCCTCAGACAAGGCCTTCTTGCATAGCCTAAGCTGTTCTTGAGCTTTAGATCAGTGGTTCTTAACCTATGGGTTGAAACCCTTTCACAGAAGTTGCCTAAGCCCATCTGCATATTAGATATTTACAATATGATTCATAACAATAGCAAAATTACAATTGTAAAGTAGCAATGAAAATAATCTGGTTGAGGGTCACCACAACATGAACTATATGTATTAAAGGGTGATGGCATTAGTGAGGTTGAGAACCACTGCTTTAGACCTTTTTGCCTTAGCCTCCCTTGTATTGTTTCAGAAGGGGCTTTTTGTTTGTTTTTTTATTTTATTTTTTAAAATCCTGTATTGATGCATTGGGGTGAAAAGACAGGTGGGGAAATTTCTATTTTTCAAGTTTAAGTAAGCCTGACCTTGTTTTAGAAAGCTAGTCCCAGCCTGGTAGTGGTGGTACATGCCTTTAATCCCAGGTTCCTGGAGGCAGAGGCAGGTAGATCTCTGTAAGTTCAAGGCCAGCCTGGTCAAAGCAAGTTCCAGGACAGCCAGGACTGTTGCACAGAGAAACCCTGTCTTGAAAAACAATAAACAAACAAACAAAAGAACTCTAGGTTAACAGTGTAATTCCTACTGTGGTTGGTGTGTTGAGAACCTCCCTGTCTGCTGTCAGAAAGGAAGAAGAAATGTACCTTGTTAACCAAAGTGCTTCCAACAAGGTGGGTGCTGAGTATAGGTAGAGGTGGAGATGTTGCCTTGAAAGTTAATGGGATAATGGGTCTATCTGATGCCAAAGGAGGGTCAATAAAAACCAGAGCTAATCTGGTAAAGCTATTTAAGATCTGATGGATTGCTAGATGATGGAGTCTCCTGGTATGGCTGGAAGTAATGATACTCACTTCTCTTCTCCACCACCTACCCCACAGTGCACCATGGCACTTATCTACCTCGTCGTGAAAGATGTTTTCCTGCTCATCAACTACTTCAGCTTCAGCTACTGGTTTTTTGTGGGCTTGTCTGTGGTTGGACAGCTCTACCTTCGCTGGAAAGAGCCTGACAGGCCTCGACCTCTCAAGGTCAGCACCTCCCTTTTTAAAAAGGAAAAAAGATAGATAGGGCCTCATACTATCTAGATTAGCTTGGAATTGTGTAGCCAAGAAGGGCTCAACATGCACAGCTCATGCATAATAGCAGGACTGGGTTCTCTCTCTCTCTGTTTTTTGAGACAGGGTTTAGGGTTTCTCTGTATTGCTTTGGAACCTGTCCTGGAACTTGCTTTGTAGACCAGGCTGGCCTCGAACTCAGAGATCCTCCTGCCTCTGCCTCCCGAGTGCTGGGATTAAAGGCGTGTGCTTCCAACACCCAGCTTGTGGGTTCTCTTCTTTAACTGAATTTATTATTTTTTTAAAATTTATTTATCTACATTGGGATTTTACCTGCATGTATGTCAGTATGAAATTGTCAGATCCCCTGGAACTGGAGTTAAAGAGAGCTGTAAACTGCCATGCGAGTGCTGGGAATTGAACCCAGGTACTTTGGAAAAGCAGCCAGTGCTTTTAACTGCTAAGCCATCTATCTCTCCAGCCATCCCCCCTTTTTTTGACAGGTTTTCTCAAAGATTTATTTAGGGTCCCAGTCTTAAAGTGTCTTCTTTTTTATCAGGTTATGTTCTTTCATCCCACCTTAATAAATCTCACTTACCTCTATTTCAGCTGAGCCTCTTTTTTCCCATCGTGTACTGCATATGTTCCTTGTTTTTGGTGGCTGTACCTCTCTTCAGTGACACCATCAATTCTCTCATTGGCATTGGGATTGCCCTCTCTGGGGTCCCTGTCTACGTCATGGGTATTTACCTGCCAGAGTCACGGAGGCCACTCTTTATTAGGAATGTTCTGGGTGAGTGTTGCTTTGAATGGCTATATGCTTATGCTCAAGTTCATGCAGAGGTTACCAGCTCTTCCATCTTACTTAATGGCAAGGGGATAAAACCTGGCTGCCCATCATACTTTTAGTGTTCTATTCTAGGTTTAAAGCACTATCTGCTTTGTAGTGTTTGGATTGTTAGGTTTTTTTTGTTTGTTTGTTTGTTTTGTTTTGTTTTTTTGAGACGGGATTTTGAGTAATGCAGGCTAGTCTTGAACTATGTAGCTGAGGATGATCTTCCTGCCCCTACTTTATAAGTGCTAGGAATATAGGTGTATACCCTCAACACCTGGGAAGAAAAGGCTGGGTGTGGAATAGAAAGGCTTGGTTGTAAAGGATAAACACAGGCTTAGTGTGCGAAGGGATGAAGAGCCGGGTGGGAAGGAGTCATAGATAAGCTTTTAGCCTTCTAGTATTCAGATTGGAACTGTAACAAAGTATGTTTGCTAAATCCTGTGCTTCTTATTTTCATTTAGCTACTGTCACCAGATTAACCCAGAAGCTTTGTTTTTGCGTCTTGACTGAGCTTGATGTAGCTGAAGAGAAAAATGTTGAGAGGAAAGAAAACTGACTAGGAGCCAGAGGTGACATTCTCTGAAGCCCAGAGGCTGTGACCACAGCCATCAAAGACCAGTTACCTAACCCTTCTGAATGAAAGGAGCCTCTTGGCCCACATTCTGTAAGGGGACTCAGGGCCAGTGCTCTCTCATTGGTAAGCTGTGGAAGATACTGATCAGACCAGCCTGAAGATGAGACTTCAGTGGGAGGGGAGGTTGGGACAAGGGATTGATTTCGTTTTTCTTCTTCTGGTGGATAGGTACAGACTGCCCTGTTGGTACATTGTAGTGGGCAAAGAGGGAAGAATGTTAGGTTGATAGCTATGGCGTATAGCTCACAGATAAACCAGGAATCTTTACAGTGGGGCTCTTTCATGGGAAATCTTCATCTGACCAAGTACAGCTACTTGATTTTAGAAGCCTGAAATGCTGCCATGTCTTTCTGTGGCTCAAAATTCTTCCTTAGGGAAAATATTGTGTCCCCCCCCCCTTTTTGTTTGTTGGGTAGCATGAACAGCAAGGCTTTATTTAACTGACATGGGATCAATGTGCGCCCTCATTCCTGAATTCCACAAGAGGAATATCACTCCCTGCCCTGGAACTTCATGTTCAAGCAAAGAATATAGCTTGATGAGAGGAAGATCGACTCTTCAGGGTCAGGGCATGAAAGCCCTCCTGTTGAGGACTTCCCATTTGTGGGTCTGAATGTTGGGAAATCCTTGGGATCTCGTTGTGTACAGTGTGCCTATCTCCTTGAGGAGGTGCTGCCTGTCTGACTGACTTTGCTCAGATCATTTTAGCACTATGGCCAAAATCCTTAAGCAAGGAGGTGAGCTTCTGGCTCATAAAGAAATTGTTTTGGATACTAGATTGCCTCCTTCCTAGCTGAAGCCATGGTGCTGTGGAGCTCTTGAAACAAGGGCTGAAAGAAAACCTCACTACTACAGCTGAGTGGGAGTATCTCTGCTACTACTGTCACCAAATTCCAACTCCTGTATTTATTGATATTTAATCCAGGACACCAATTGTAGCAAACCATTAGTGATTATTTGTTCACAGGATGCAATAAATGGTGTTTGAAAAAAAGTACCTTAGCTGGTGTGGTAGTAGACACCTGTAATCTGAGCACTTGGCATGGTGATGCAGGAGGAGTCTGAATTTGAGGCTAGTTTAGGCTACATAGTAAGTTCCAGGCAGCCACTCTGGGCTAGCAGGATCCTGTCTTTAAAAAAAGAGAAAAAAAAGTTCAAGTACTCAAAACAGTATCTCCTGGCTCTCAGAGATGTCTCAATGTGATAGTAAGTCAGATTCTGACAATATTTCACAAAATTTGTTGAGCATTATCTATGAAGGTGAAGTTAAAGGAGTTTTCGAGCTGGGCATGGTGGTGAACACCTGTGATCCTAGCACTCAATAAGCTAAAGCAGGGGATTTGATTTGCTGAAGGTTCAAAGCTAGCCTGGGCTACATAGTACCATATTATCTGAGCTTATATAGTAAGAACTTGTATCAAGAACAAAGATAAAGGACATTTTAAAACATGTACCTGTTACACTTTAATATAGAGACAAGTCACATGTTACTGTCATCTGGCTCAGCTCCAGCAAGGACAGATTGGCAACCACATGAGCCATAAGTTTGGTAATGTTATTTTGAAGGATAATCCTTTGTTTTATTAAGACCTTTGGCCTTTGTTCTAGTTGATAGAAAGTATATCTGCATTTGTTATGAGGCCTGGGATGTTTTATAATTCAGGTAGATTACCTGGTTCATCAATTATTAGTGGACTTGGAGAACATCATAAATTCAAGTCATCAAATAGCTTGTGTGAGGTTTGCTGTGTAGACTCATGCAAGCCCACTCTGGTGCTGGAAAGTGGTTGTTAACTTTCTGAAAACCACATTGGCGTCAGGCTGTGTCCACACTCTGAACCATTTTGAGTTATAGGATAGTACATCTGTTTGCCTTCTCTTGTGCAAGAGCTGGTGAGATTGAAATCCCAGAAAGTACTTGACTTGGTACTTGTACATCTGTTATGTTCTCCCTGTGAAGATAATGAAGACTGTAGAAAACAGCTTCAACCTTAATCTGGCTCCTGGGAAAGGATGAAAACAGCTAATTCTGGTGATCGGGCTAGGCTGCCAGTTGAGATCAAAACAGCAGGCTTGGATCTTTATGGGCAGTATATCTATTTTGGATTGATTACACAACTGTCTTGGGATGCCCTTAGACACTGTCATCTTGGACACAGAAGAACCTGGTGTCTTGGCATTCCCCATGGATGTTTCAAAGAGTTTTGGAACTCATGAATCATATAGCTATGAGGCATTCAAAACTTCTGATCCTTTTTATATACCAAACTGGCCCTAGTTGCAAAGGAATAACCTTGGATATATGCTTGCTCAGTAAAGACTTAGGGGAGTGTGATCACAGTTGCCTTTGGTTATGGGAATGCATCACTGAGAACTTGTGGGTGACCTTCTTACTGCTATGGGTTGGGGATTTGTAAATTTCTGCCTGATAAGGTGCAAAGACTGACTTGCCCAAACAATACAAACACGATTCATGTCTGAGCCAAGCTGGTGTCCATTCTAAGGCTCTCCTAGAGCTAAGTTTTTAAAGAGTGACCCTGGTTTTAGTGGTCTTTGGCCCTTAACCAGCTAGTCCCAGGAATTTGCTGCCCTCTAGTGGTTTCTGAGAGGAGGGACCTCACATTCAAGGTGCTCTAATACTTGCTTATTGAGCCAAGTTATCATTATTTTTTTTTCTTCAAGCTCAACACAGCTTTTCCCAGGAACACTTTCTATGGGAAAGAAGCCAGACTTCCTACAGCACTCAAGCTTCATGGTGGAATTCTTCCCACCAGGTCTGTCTCTTTGAATCTACCTCCTGATGTGCTAATCCCATTTACAGTGAGCCGTACAGTTTGTTCCTTTTGTATGAGGTACAGTCTGAAGTTGTTGGCCCTTTAATGTTGCAAAACTTAATGAACACATACATAGCAGTGAGCATGCTATAGACGCAAAGAGGATTTTAGTCCAGCTACTGATCAGTGTTAGAACTGGTGTTAGAACACTGCCACCTATTACTTGCAGAATTGTTTTATTGATACTCTGAATAAAGTAACTGGGATAGTTTTATTAGTTGCAATAAACATGAGTACACAAATTAGATCAATTTGACAAGCTTAATAACTCCTTATAGGTAGGACTACCATAAGTAAAGGCTTATAGACAATGAAAGAGTGAGAGGCTGATGAACTTGTAAATAGTGGGAAGAACGCATCTGTAATTCACTTTCCAATGGATTGGTTATCACAGGAGAAGAGTCGAATGTTCTGAGTGTTATTTCCCTAGACCTATAGTAACTACTACAGTAATAACTAGCCATATGTAGCTAAGTTAAAATGAAATCTAGCCAATTTAATAGCTTGCACCTTTAATACTAGCACTTGGAAGACTAAGGCAAAATTGCAAGTTTTAGTTTGTTTTTTTTAAAAAGCCAGCCTGGTGCATACCTTTAATCCCAGCACTAGGGAGGCAGAGGCAGGTGGATCTCTTTTGGTCAAGGCCAGCCTGGTCTACACAGTGACTTCCAGGATAGCCAGGGCTGAGACTGTCACCTGCAAACAAAAATCCCTGAGGTTTCTCAGTTGTACTAATCATATTTCAAGTGCTCAGTGACCATGAAATTGGACAGTGAATATATAGAACATGCTGTGGTGTGTTCTGTTGGACAATACTACTGTATCTAGGTCTAAGGCTGCTGAGATTTAGAAAACCAGTAGAGGGAATAGGGACTGCCTTTAAGCGTTTTGGTAACAAAAATGGTCCTATTGGTGATGGGTAGATTTTAAATATTTTGGGGGAGATGTGCCTACTCTAACCATGTACATATGTAAGAGACTTACATATATGGTGGATTTTGGCAGTCTTGGAACCAAAGTTACTGAGGGACAACTGTAACTTATTTTTTGTGAGTGCTGTTAAACAGTTAACTTAGTCCACAGTATATAAAGTTAATTATGAAATGCCTGTCTCACTAACCTCTCCCTTTTCTGTGGGGCAAACCTAAAATAGTCAGATTGAGAGGGCTTAAAAGAATTGCTTGCAGATGGGAGGTGATGGTACCGGCCTTGAATCCCAGCACCTGGAGGCAGAAGCAGGTGGATGTCTGTGAGTTAGAGACCAGCCTGGTCTACAGAGTGAGTTCCAGGACAGGCTGCAAGCTACAGAGAAACCCTGTCTTGGAAAAAACAAAGCAATAAAAATTGCTTCTGTGTAAAAAGTTTGTTTTTATGAGTATTGCATAATACTGTTCTGTGGCACCACTGCCAAAAGATGAGAGCAGTCTTTATAACCATTATCAGTGTCTAAAGGCAAAGGAGGGAGGGGGCACTGTTGCCCTTATAGAGATGACCTCCATCAAAGAAAACAGGCTTTATTGGAGGCAGGCACTCCAATTTGGAAGGTAGATTATACTGCCGATGAAATAGGAGCTTCCTCTCTCCAGCTCCTTTAGACTTGAGAAGAGAATAATAGGAAACCACCTGGGCTGGAGATTGTACATCACTTTATTTCCAGACTGTAGGATCCCCTTTTTTTTTTTTTTTTTTTTTTTTTTTTTTTAATAGAATCTTATTCTTTTGCCCAGGTTAGCCTAGAATTTTATATGCAATCTTGGCTAGTCTTGCATTCTCAGTCCTTTTGCTCCTAGATTCTTGAATGCTGGAAATTACAGGCATGAGCCAGCATGCTGGGCTTCACTTATAAGCAGAAGAGCCCTTAGTTAAGTCTGTATTGTGCTGGGGTATAGTTTTTCTTTCTACATCTCCAGTAAGGCATCCTAAGATGATGGCACTGCAGTCACAGAGCTCTCAAGGGCTTGTGGAAGAATCTCACGAGACTATCAATCTGAATCCAGATCATGGGGGTTATCATAGCCAAACTCCTTCTGTACATCCAAAGGGTACTTGCTCCACATCAATTGTCTGCTGCCTCTTTCCTCCTCGCTGAGGCTGTTGTATTCATTAGAGTCTATAAGGAGATAAGGATTTTATTATGAATAAAATACTTGCTAAAGCCAATATATAGAAATTAAATTTGTGTGTGAGTGCACATGTGTGGTGGTCAGATGACAATTTATGGAAGTTGGTTCTTCTTCCACAGCAAGGGTTCTAAAGATCCAATTCATGTTGCCAAACTTGCTGGTTGATATGTTAATACTCCTCCCCTCCCTGCCAAAAGGGTTTTTCTCTAGCCCTGGCTGTCCTGGTAATCACTTTATAGACTAGACTGGCCTTGAACTCACATCCACCTGCCTGTCTCCCAAATGCAGGGATTAAAGGCATGTGTTACTGCACCCAGTTTTCTTATTTTTTAATGTATTTCATTGTTTTCCCTGAATGTATGTATGTGCATCCCATGTAGGACTAGTGCCCACAAAGGTCAGAAGATGAAGAATGGATGGAATTGATGGTTGTGAGCTATCATATCAGTACTGGAAATAGAACCCAGATCTTTTCAAGAGCAGCCAGTGCTCTTAGTCATTGAGCATCTCTCCAACCCTGTTAATACTTTCTTGCTTGATGGGAGTAGGGAAAAGAATGGGCTACACATCTTACCAACTGCTAAAGTTGATCCAATATTGTCTCACTTTTAGAGAGAAAAATCATATTCAAAGAAGCGAAATAACTTCATATATATATAGGAAGTAACAACTAAGGATTAGAACCTAGGCCTGACTGATATATCCCAATAGTTCCCCTGGAAAGACAGGGAAAGCCAACCATTTGCAACATACCCATCAATTAATTACATTTTCACTTCAATCATGACTACCCATCTGGGTTGCTACCCACCTCTAGAATCTTCATCTTCATCACTGCTTTCTTCATCTGGATACTCATTGCGCCAATTATTTTCACTGTTTTCATCATCTTCATCTTCATACGTATCTTCTGGTTGCTGATCATCATTCACCTGAACATCTCAACATAAACACAAGTTTAAGTCTAAAACCTCTTAAGTTATGCTCCTTAGGGGAAGCTACTGGCAGCAGGGGAAATTCAAGTAAAGGTCCAATGTAAAAATGGCATTGGAGTTCATGTGACTCTGTTTTACAAGAGACTATGTAATCTTAACTCCAATCAAGAATCTAGCCATAGAGAGCACATTTCAATGTCATTAGAGGGGAATGAGTGTAAAGAGAAGGTAGTGACATCCATATTAAGATTTCTGACTGGTTCTGGTGTGCAGATATACATGGAAGCAGAATGTTGTATACATAATAAATAAAATCTTAAAAAAAACAAAAAGATTTCTGACTGGGTAATGCCAAAGATCAGGATCAAAAATCTCAAAATAGGGCTGGAGAGATGATTCAGCCATTAAAGGCTAGGCTCACAACCAAAAATACAGGAAGGTACAGGAAGGCAGGAATAGAGACCACATAGTGGTCTAAGGTGGGTGCCTATTTGCAAAACTGGTAACAGGTCCCCAAGGGCACCCACAGATATATGCACATTTCATACACATTTTAAAAAACAAAAACAACTTTTTCTTTTTGGGTTCTCAAGACAGGATTTCTGTTTAGCCGAGGTTGTCCTGGAACTAACACTGTAAACCAGGCTGCCCTCTTAACTCACAGATACCCACCTGCCTCTGAATCCCAAGTGCTGGGATTGGGATTCTCAACACCACTGCCCGGCAAGGTTTTTTTTTTTTTAATTCATGTTAATGTCTGGTTTTGACAACTCTGGGAATTGAACCTAGGTCCTCTTGAAAAAAAAATTAAGATTCAAAAACATCTGAAGATTCATTATGAATAAAATCTTCAGTGTAGGTAGTTTTAACACATTTGCTGTATTAAACAAGGTTTTCTACAAAGGATTTAGAATAGAATTTTCCTTCTAAGCACATACAGACACACATGCAGACAAAACCCCAAAAGTACACTAAAATAAAAAAAAAAAAAGGAGTGGAATCCAGGAGGCAGGTAGATCTCTGTGAGTTCTAGGACAGCCAGAGCTGTTAACACAATGCTGTCTTGAGAAGTCAAAAAAAAAAAAAAAAAAAAAAAACCAACCAAAAAAACTGGAAAAACCCAAACATCAAGACTGTAGTTCATAGCTAGATGTTTTATATATTTGTAATCCCAATATTGGGTAAACTGAGGCAATTTAAATTGCCAAAGTTCAAGGCCTGCCTGGACTACATAGTGATTCTGTTTCAGAAAAATAAGGGGCTAGAGGATAAAATACTTGATGTACAAGTTCAACCACCAGAGTTCAGATATCCAGAATCCATGTAAAGCTGCGTGGATTGGGTAGATTGCCTGAGACCCCAGAACATGGGAGGCAGAGAAGAATCTCTGGGAAAAGCTGTCTCATTAGTTTTATTGGAATTGGAGAGCTCTGGCTTTTGTGAGACACCTGCTTCAAAGAAGACACTAAATGTTAACTTTGGGCCTCCATGTGCTCCAACAAACAGGAACATGCATTCACACACAGAGTTGTCACCGCCCCCAAGCTTTTCAAGGGATGGTGGTGATAAAGGAAGCCAGGAATGACGGAATAAGTCTATAATCCCAGCATTTGTGTTTTGGAGATAGAAGGATCAGAAATTTATTAAGTACACAGCAAATTTGAGACCAGCCTAGGCTACATGAGACCCTGTCTCAACAAAAAATAGCAAGATGACTTAGTGAAAGGTGCTTGCCACCAAGCCTGATGATCTAAGCTTGATCCAAGGAGCCAATATGGTTGAAAGAACAAGTTGTCCTATGACTTCCACACATGTACAATAGCATACACACTAAATAAAATTAATTTTAAAATTTAAGAACAAACAAAAGCAAAAATGAGTAGAGTCTAGGAAGTCAAAGTGCACTGATACATGTCCTCTTCTTGGACCCCTTACCAGCTCCCACTCCTGGCTGTAGGGCTGCACAGACAGAATGTTCTCAATCCATCCTGGAGGGGCCATCTCCATATAGTAAATGTCATATACATAGTCGTCATTGTGCTTTGATTCCTTCTGGTGCTCCACTTGTGGTTCATCTTCAGATACAGTCAGCCTCTCACGGATCAACTCTACAGAATTGCAGAGGATCACATCTGGATCAGATGTCTACAAAGAAAACAATAAGACTCAAATAATGTTCTAAAGATTAAGTAAATGAAGGTCTGTTACTGTTTTCCATGCAGTGTTCAAGATGCTTTTTATTTATTTATTTGGTTTTTCGAGACAGGATTTCTCTGTGTAGCTTTGGAGCCTTTCCTGGCACTCGCTCTGGAGACCAAGCTGGCCTCGAACTCACAGAGATCCACCTGCCTCTGCCTCCTGAATGCTGGGATAAAAGGCATGCGCCACATGCCCGACTGCTTTTTGTTTTATTTTGAGATAGGGTTTTACTATGCAGCCCTGAATGGTGGAGAACCTAACCAGGAAGGCCTCTGCCTCCCAAGTACTGGGAGTGCAGTTAGTATTCAAGATCACTATCCCCACAGATGCCTAGTCTCTTTCACAGATGCCTGCTTCTACAGGCTTTTTTTTTGTTGGTTTTTGAGACAGGGTTTCTCTGTGGCTTTGGAGGCTGTCCTGGAACTAGCTCTTGTAGACCAGGTTGGTCTCAAACTTAAGAGATCTGCCTGCCTCTGCCTCCCGAGTGTTGGGATTAAAGGCATGTGCCACCATCACCCAGCTTCTACAGGTCTTTTTGAATACTCTTTGCTATTGTGTTCTTCTTTGGGGATCCATAGGCCCACTTATGTTTCCTGCTAAAGCTTATTAAAATCTGTCATCTGGCTCATCTTAACTGACCAATATCCTAAATTTAATGAAAACTAGTCCTGGTGGTGGTGGCGTATGCCTTTAGCCCCAGCACTGGAGATAGGTGGATTTCTGTGAGTTCAAGGACAGCCTGGTCTATAGAGTGAGTTCTACGACAGTTACGATGGGTTACACTGTCTTAAAAAAAGAAAAAAAAAAAACAAAAATGAGATTGATGACTACCTATGCCATCCTAGAGCCTTCATCCAGAGCTGATGGAAGCAGAAGCAGACACCTACAGCTAAACAGAGTTGAACTGGAATCCAGTTGCAGAGAGGGAGGAGTGATGAGCAAAGGGGTCAAAGACCAGGATGGAGAAACTCACAGAAACAGCTGACCCGAACAAGGGGGAGCTAATGGGCCCTGGGCCCCCTGAATGTATGTCAGTTAGGAGGCCTGGGCAATCTATGGGGCCTCTGGCAGTGGATCAGTATTTATTACTAGTATACGAATGGACTTTGGGAGCCCTTTCCACATAGAGGGATACTCTCTTAGCCTAGATACATGGGTAGGGCCTATGCCCTGCTCCAAATGATGTGACAGACGTTAAAGAACCCCCATGGAAGGCCTCATCCTCTTTGGGAAGCAGAAAGATGGGATAGAGGGTTGGTGGGGGGCAGAGGAGAGGGAGAGGGAACTGGGATTGACATGTAAAACAATTGTTTCTAATTTAAATTTTAAAAAGGAAAAAAAAAAAAAACCAAAACAGACAAAAAACAAAACCCTAAAAAACCTAAACAAAAACACACTACCACCACCAACAAAAATCTAGAGTCACCTATAATCTCTCTGCAAGAAGGAAGAGCTCTTAGTAAATGCTAATGAAACAAATACTATATGCTCAAATGTGTTCAGGAAAAACTTTCAACATTAAATTTCTATTCCATGTTTTTTTTTTTTAATTGATTTGGTAAGAATTTAATTCTGGAGTAGATATTGATTGTAAACATGTTTTTAGGTATGTGATTTTGAAATATTTCCTCCTAACCTGTAGTTCAGGTTTTCATTATAATATTTTTAATTTATGTAAAACAGTGGATTTATTTTACATATGCTGCTTTGTTAGTTTATATATTAGATATTTATCTAACTTACTAATGATTATTTTCTCCTTTGTTTACTTGTTCTCTGCTTTTGGATAAAGGTTTCTGAATCACTTTTAACACCTTTATGCATGAATTGTATAACTTGTAATAATTGTATTATTACATAAAGCTTTGAAACACTGGGGGAAAAATATATATATATATATATAAAAAGGAAGGACTTGAAAACACAAAGTCCCAGAAAAGAACTAGCCCAGGTTAAGATGTTCTCCAGCAACTACAGGGTCCTGGGAGCATGGGTCAGTGTGAAGCTGCAGGGAAATGCTTCAGATGGCTGTCCCCTCTAAACAAGTTCATCACAGAAAGCTACCTTAAGTAGGAATGTTCTCTGACCAAAGCACACAGCAGGAGACTGATGATATCACATACAAAACCAAGGTGAATGTTCCCTTGGTCTAAAGTCACAAAAAAATTAGGGGTACAGGTTTTGTGCAGGCTTCTCCTCCTCCTCAAAGACTTTTTTCTTTTGTTTTAAGCGTATGAGTGTTTTGCCTGTATGTACGTATTTATATCCACCACATGTATGTAGTGTCTTCAGAGATCAGAAGAGTGTGTTGGATTTCCTGGTACTTGAGTTACAAAGGTTGGTAAGCTGCCATGTGGGTGTTGGGAATTGATTTTTAGGTCCTCTGCAAGAGCAATGAGTGCTGTTAGACTCCAGCTCATCAAAGCTCCAATTCATAAATTCCCCACCCAGAACATTAAATTATATAGTCATTAAGTTTCTAAGACTAACAAAAGTGCCAAATAATTGTATATTCAGAGTAAATTAACCAACTTCTCTCTAGTTTGGGTTGTGGGTAAACCCACAGTGCTAAAATTTGAATTGAGAGCCTTATACAAGCTAGATAAAAATGCATTGTCTCTGATCTATACCTCTAAATTCCTAGTTTACTTTTAGATTGCTGTGTTTTTTCATGAATAGACACTGCTCTTGTAACTTTTGTTACTGGCCTGAACTATGTAGCACAGACTGACGTCAAACACTTGGAAATCTTGCTTCAGTTTCCTAAATGCTAGGATTATAGGCATTGAGCCATTAGACTTTGTAGAAAAATTTTCTTTATTACAATTGTGTGTGTCCTAGTTAGCTTTAACTGTCAACGTCACATAGTCTTGAGTCACCAGAGAAGAGAATCTCAATTGAGAGATTGTGTAGATTGGCCAGTGTCCTTGTGAGTGATTACCTTGTTAATTATAGAAGGGCACAGACTATGCTATACCATTTCTTGAGCAGGTGGTCTTGGGCTACAAAAGAAAGCTAAGCATAAGCCCATGAGAGTAAGACACCAGGAAACATTTTCCAGCATGGCATAGTGGTGCACACCCTTTAGTCCCAGCACTCAAATGGCAGAGGCAGACAGACCTCAAAGTTTAAGACCAGCCTGGTCTACATACTGAGTTCTAGGACATCCAAAACTACACAGTGAAACCTTTCCTCAAAAACAAAAACCCAAAACAACAAAAGAAGCATTTTGCATGGTTTCTCCTTCAAGTTCCTAAACCCTTTACTACCCTGTTACTTTTGTTTAAAATGTATCATAGCAACAGAAAGGAAACTAGGACAGTACTACCTGGGTGTACATGTCATGATGCACACGTGGGTCCCAGGGATTGAACTTGGGTTGTACCTTTACCTGCTGAACACTTTCACCAGCCCTTAGAAAAATTATTTTTATTGTTGACATATGTGCCCTTGTATTTTCAGTTTCATGTTCTGTTGTTAAACACATACTTCCCATGTTGCAAATCTTTAGGGTTATCAATCATTTTTTTTTAAAATTTTTTTATTTATTTTTATTTTATGTGCATTGGTGTTTTGCCTTTGTGTATGTCTGTATGAGTGTCAAGTCTTCTGGAACTGGAGTTATAGACAGTTGTGAGCTGCCATGTGGGTGCTGGGAATTGAACCCCGGTCCTCTGGAAGAGCACTCAGTGCTCTTAACCACTGAGACATCTCTCTAGCCCCTAGGGTTATCAATCTTAATACTCCAAATCATTGTGTATGTCTATTCCTTTAAAATTTTTACGAATATGCCTGTTTGTCTATATGTAGGCTACTTGTACACTGTGCCTAGATTCCAGAAGGTATTGGATCCACTTGAACTGGAGTAACAGGAAGTTTTAAGGTGCCTTTTGTAGGTGCTGGGAACCAAATGTAGATCCTTAAGATGAAACAGCAAGTAAACTACTGAGCCAAGTCTTAGTCCCATGCATATCTTTAAGCAGTATCAAAATGAATATGTCATTTCTGCATTTGAAAAATGGTGATAATACTGGGGGAAAGCAAGTCCTTACCTAATTTGGCTGCCATTCCCATTAAAAAGTAGAGATTACCCTGAAAAGCACCAACACTTAACATTACTATCTGAGGGCTGCATGTCAATCCACCAGTAGAAGGAAAGGAACTTGTTCTGGTCCACTGACTATAGGTACAAATTATCTTTCCTAGGAAAAACAAACACACAAATGGTTACCTGCAATACTAGATTCTGTTCTTTTTAGAGTAACACAAACAAAGCTGAGTCACCTGTCATCTATGGAATGCAGACTACATATAGCTTTACCATGACTTCTTTCACAGCTGTTTTGCCTCCAAGTCAATGTTCTCCACTTGTGCGTTGTGACCTCTATGGGGGTGGCAGATCAGATATCCTGCATATCAGCTATTTACAATTCATAACTATCAAAATGACAGTTATGAAGTAATGGTTTGTATTTTTTTTTTTTTCTTTTTCCCAGAGACAGTTTCATTGTGTAGCCCTGGCTGTCTGGAACTAGCTCTGTAGATCAGGCCTGCCTTTGCCTCCTGAGTACTGGGATTGAAGGCATGTGCCACCACTGCCTGGTACAATGAAATAATTTTGTAGTTGGGGGTCACCACAACATGAGGAACTGTATTAGGAAGGTTGAGAACCACTGATCTAATGTGGTAAAATCTCCACAAATTAAAATCCTAATGAAACCTATTTTGATTAGTCAATGAATGCCAATAAAAACTTTTTTGTAAAAGTAAAAGCAAAATGGTGATTAAAGTACCTAATTCATAGTATTTGTGAAGCTTAAACAAATTAAAGGAAAATACAGAGTTAGGGATATAGTTTGGTGGAAGAACACTTGCCCCAAAAGCAGTGCAAACAAAGCCCAAACAAAACTAAGTATACAACACAATAACTTATGAAATCAACAGTATTTTTTGTTAATGCCATAGTTGTGTACTTTTGCTGAATCATTTATTAGGTTAAATCTTGGAAGTATGATTATTAGGAAAACACAGACTTCGAAAAATTTTTTTGAGACAGGGCTTCTCTGTGTAATAGTCCTGGCTGTCCTGGAGCTCACTTTAAAGACCAGGCTGGCCTCAAACTCACTGAGATTCATCTGTCTCTGCCTCCAAATGCTGGGACTAAGGCATGGGCCACCACTACCTGGCCAAACTTTAATTTTTTAAACTTCTTGCTGGCTACTATAGGGTAACTGCTCTGCTACATACTCCTCTTGCCATAGTATTCTGCTACAATAGTGATCCATAGCAATTGAGCAGGTTGACCATGGACCAAACCTTTGAAGTTGTGAGCTTTAAAAAAAAAAAAAAATCCTTCATTTGTCAGAGCAACAAAAGTCTAACATAATCTCTAAATAATAATGTAAATATTTTAAATAGGCCCAAATATACTTTTCAAAAGGTGTACAACAAATTTATTTGAGACAGGGCCTGTGTAGCCCTGGCTGTCCTTGAACACAAAGAGATCTTAATGCCTCTCTAGAGTGCTGGTATAAAGGCCTGGACAACCACACCCCCCCCCCCCTTTTTTTTTTTTTTTTTTTTTTTTTTTGGAGACAAGGTCTCACTGCGCAGTCTTGGCTGGCCTGGAACTCTTAGAGATCTACCTGTCACTGCCACACAAAATTGTTAGGATCAATGGTATGCACCACCACACCCAACTGACAAAGAGACTAAGTGGAGTTGGGGGGAAAGAGAAAAACAAAAAACAAGAAAACCAATAGTGAAGGGCGTCGGTGCACACCTCTGCAACCCCAGCTCTGGGGCAGGAAGACTGCTGTGTGTCAGAGGCCTGCGTGGGCTACATAGCCAGTACTGTGTCAACTAGGGCTACACAGCAAAACCCCAAACAAGTAAAACAAGGCTATCTTTTGGAGTAGATTACCCATCCTGAAGCTTAGTGCGTATGGCTGTCTCTGCCTTGGGGAGCAGTGCAGAGACATCCAGTACTCACTTTGCAGCAGTCTGGGCCGCCTCTGGGTCTCCCTCCTCGTGGACCAGGTCCAACAACTGGAAGCCTGCATCCCCAGCATCTTCCGACATACACGGTGGCTCCGAACCGCTAGAGATCCCTGAGGATCGGTGGCTGGAGACAACCCTGTAGCGGCCTTCTTTACGGACCTCGCGAACCGAGGCTCGAAGATCGCGGCGGATACGCAGCTGGCTGCTCCGGGACGGGCGCAGGGCAGCCCGCACAAGCTGCTGGATGGGCTCCTCCTGAGGGGGGCGACAGAAAAAGGATGACTGCCTCAGCAACTGTTTGTATCTGGGCTGCGTTCGAAGATCCCTTCCACACAGAGTCCACCCCCGCCTCACACCTGGGAGCGCAAGGTAGCAACCAACTGGAAGACATTACTCTCAGCCGCTGCCTCCGGACCCTGCGGCGTCTCCTGAGCCGACGACTCGACCTCGCCGCTCCGGAGGCGTTTACAGGCCAGCACGAGAGCCTCGACAGGCTCCGCGCTACGCTTCCGCTTCACGCGCAAGACCGCAGTCCTGCCGGCCTCCATAGCGGCTATCGAGGGGCACTGTGGGAAGGCGCGGGGTGTGACGGGAGATCTCTTCGGCTCCGCCGAGGGCCGCGCCGCGTCGAACGTCACGCCTTCGCGCCGAGGCCCCGCCCCGGGTGAGGTAAAATGGCCGCAGCCTTGGCGGCGAGTGGAATGCTTCCCACAGCGGGTGAGCTGTTGGCGGTGCCGGGGAGGTGGGGCCGTGGCTGGTCCTGGGTGCAGCCAGCTTTTGGAACTCGTCTCTGGGGCTCTGGCGGAGGGCCCTGGCGCGGGTATATTCGGGTTCCCGGTATACTTCTGGACTTTTCCAGAGTCCACGTGGAGTTGGAAAGCACCCTGGCGGACAGGTCTGCCCGGCCACAGCTGTCCGCCGGGGCGCTCTCCTTTCTCAGAATGTGGCCGAGCATAGAACCTGGGCCGGAGTTGTACGCAGCAGCTCCAGCCTTCGGTCCCCGAACCGTTCCAGCCGTTCTCTTACTCGGCATGGCTTTTCTTAGTTCTTGTTCTGAGGAGTTGGAAACCATTCGCTTCAAAGCATTTGCCGGCAGTAGCGCTGTAAATGTGTGCACCCTGCGTAGACATGCTTTTTGGGGGTGGCCCTCAGTGCGTCTCAAACCCTCGCAACACCACAGATAAGTGTGTTTAATATGCCGAGGAATGACCACTTCAGCACTCTTGCTCACTTCTGTTAGCTCACTGCTTGGCTCACTTTGCTTTCTCACTTGCCTTCACCTGAGGGCTGGACCCGGATGAACTTGTGAGGCACTTTGACACTTTGATCCTGTTGGCATTTCTGAAGAGCGCCAAAATTTCCAGCATTATATATTTATTGGGGGGGGCGTCTCCAGGGTCTCGCTAGTTCTGACAAGCGTGGAACCCCTAAAGATCCTCCTGCCTTTTTCTAATTGTGGAATTAAAGACATGCACCATCAGGTTGTTTTTTGTTTTTGTGATTAGGTCTCACGGCGTTGCCCAGGTTGACATCAAACTTCAGATCCTTTACCTCAGCCTCCTAAGTGCTGAGTCTGTAGATATGTGCTACCACACCTAGCTTTTATTATAGTTCTTTTTTTCTTTTTCTTTTTCTTTTCTTTTCTTTTTTTTTTTTTTTTTTTTGAGGC